TCAGAGGAATATATGATTATAGGGTTGCTTTCTTTTGTTTTAACAAGATTAATTGATTGATATCTGTTCTGCAGAAAGTAGAAATGCATTTCAGCAAGGACTCTACCCAGTCCATCATGATATACTTTTGGGTCACACCATGGATTGTAAACTCAAAAGAGAATTATTTGACTATATAACTGGTTGACTAGCCATCTAACTTATGGACCAATGTAAATCAGGAGCAAAATAAGTAGGATCATGCCAAAGGTCCCTCTCGTGCAGCATTTACACAGTTATTTGGATGAAGACATTAACTGATCCTGATCAGAACTGTTAATGCCTCCACATTGGAGAAAATGGCTAATCTGGATTATGGAATCAGAATCCAAAAAGACACTGAGCTTCTGGGACAATGGGTTAATTTAATATAACAACTAAATATATGTGGTCAAACATAAAATTAGGGAACACAAATATACCTATAGAATAATGGCAAAATACATGTAATTAAACACTAAAGTATGCATTCAAACACAAACCAGAAAGATCAAAACAGATTAGGTATCAGGTTGATTGACTACAGAAATCCAGAGGAAATAACACAGTACTGTATATCCCATTATATAAAGACAGTTCTGCATGTCCAGCTCTTGGGACTACATTTAAAAACCAAAACAAAAGTGCATCCAAAGGAGAAAACCTCTAATGAGAATAAGACTCTCAATCTAGGCCAAACCAGGATGAACTAAAAGAACTGAACATTATCTTGGAGACTCGAAGAGTTGTTACATGCATAAGTATATTGTGTAAGTTCCCTACAAGGTAAAAATAGGGATATGAATGTTATAAAAACAAGTAATTTTGTTCAGTATAAGAAAAGAGTCCCTACACTCAGAACTGGTCACATAAAGAAAGGTTTACTATAATCAAGATGAGTACTGAAAAATAATTTGCTAAAATTGACCTTAATAGCCTCTGTGAATGAAAAAGCATGATCATCTGCTAAGAATAAAGAGGGAGGGTAATCGGGTTGTGCTACAACACCTGTAAAAATTCAGAGCATGTACTATGGGGAATTTGTTATGGAATTAACCATGAAAAGATAAAATAATTTGGTAGCACCGCTGGTCACCCCTTAAAATAAAGCTGAAGGGAATCCGTTTGTAGTTGACCAAAAGACAGAGCTGTATTACTTCATTCATTAAAATCCACAATGAAAATGATGCAGATGTTAAGAAAGCTGAGAGGGGGATGCAGCAACAGATCTGAGTGTTGAAGAGTTGAAATTTCTGTATAAGATGTATGTGATAAAGACAAGAACACATTAGGAAAAGAGGGTAGCCAAGAAACAAAGGTGGGAGAGGAAAGTGTTCAGTGATTAAGTGAATGGAGTTACTGGAAGGATAGGACACTGTGGTCAGAAAGAGAATGAGATTCTCAGGTTTTTCAGGTGGGGCAGTTCTAAGAAGGCCCAGGTGTTGGTGAGTATCAAGAGGCGCCCAAAAAGGAAGTTACAAGTCAAGTGTGTGGATGCTGAGTGAAAACCTGACCAATGATGAAAGACTACGCTTAGAAACAAAGGGCTTTGTTGTTCCAGACTCTCAAGGAAGGTGAAATGTTCACAAATTCAATAAGGAAAGGATGGAAACTTATAAGGAGAAAGGGACACAAAGAACAGTAAATCTGTGGTTCCCAACAGGTTGCAAACTACATGACAGAAGAGCATGGAGGGGTCTCTGTGTGACCAAGGCTGTAATACTCTGCATTGTATTATCAAAAAAAAATTACCTATAGCATCAATGAACAAGAATCATGAACTGAATAGTAACAAAGACAACAGCATTAAGCTCACTGGTACTTTGAAAAGTTTGTGAGAAATGGAATTAAAAGATAAGTATTTCGTTGTCAAAAAATTTTGAAATCCACGCATAAGAGTTTCTTAAAAAGGTTCATGGAAAGTGCATATTATGAGAAATTATGCATGATTTCAAAATTTTTTGGGACAGTAGAAACTCATATTTTAATTCTATTTTTACACAAATTTCTCAGTACTACATAGGTATTCAAATAAGATGAAACTAACAAGGATGTCCTAAGGGAGATTTGAGTTTGGTAGGAGATACAGACATTCAAACAAGTATATTCCAATGTAATGTGGCAAAGTGAAATAGGAGATGAGGATAGGATGGATCTAGAAAAAAATTTTCAGACCTAAAATGTGGGTCGGCTTCACTTCTTCCTTTTCTCAGGGTATGCATTCCCACTGCCATTGTTTTGTGCTGACTTACTGTTAATTCTTACTCTGACGAGAGGAGCTGGCAGGTGAGTTAATTTCAGTTGGCTTCCATGTATGAAAGGGAGGATTTGTTTAAATAACAGATTATTAATGACCAGGAAGCGTGCCAGGCAGGAGAAGTTAGGGACTAAAGCAGTGACAGTCACATTTTTGTCGTCAAGGAGACCATGCCTAAGAGTCTTTCAAGTTTGATAAAGTAGAATTTCTCTCCCTCTGTGGGCTGAGTGGGAAGCTTGCCCTGGAGCCCTTCATCCGCCTATATGTGTTCATACTCTACACATCCCCCAGGCTTTAGGAGATGAAAGCGGCTGGCCTGCACTCACCGGAGAAAGAAAAAAAAAAAAATATGTGAAATAGGTAGACATCTCAAACTAGTCCAGAAAGAAAACAAAAGCAGCAGCTATGAGTCAAGACGATCAAGAAACTGCCCTAACCCCAAGTAAATCAACTGGTTCATGTGCAACTTAATTGGTTCTACAAAAGACCTAAAACTTGCCAGAAGCTCTTCTTGTATTAAATTACATTGGAGACATCCAAAACAAATTACTGCACAGGCACTTAAACTTGCAGAAACCATCTAGATGGCCTAGAAGCAAAATATGTTATAATGACTGATACTTTAGAAAGAAAAATAAATATTTTTACAAATATACAGAAAAACAATAAACAAGAATGTTGACTAACATTGCTTGTGGATTTCTAAACAGTGCCATCAAAATTGAGTATCCAACAACAAAAAAAGCAACTTTGCAGTAAATCTGATATATAGAAAGTCATTCTGAATTATCACTTCCAAAATTTCTCCCCATTAGTAATATATCTTTATCTTGGTTTATCCAAATACTGCTTTATCTTTCCATTTCCCCTTCCTTGTTGAAATTCATTCATAAGTCTAATATGACATTTATCCTTTTTTATAAAAATGTAAGTTGGGAATTACCAACTAGTCTTTTAAAAATTCTCCTTCATACACACTCATCACTTGTTAGTAAATGTAATGGAAGATTTAATTTCTATGTTATGGCTTCTGATGAATTCAAGGTTATACAATCTATAAATATATCAACAAATGGATGTTAGCTTAAGATTTCACTTTTTAAAATTTTCTGTGTAAAATATCTGTGAAATAATTATTAGCATTTGGCCACAAAGTACTTGGTTGATGTATTCACTGTAAATACAATTTAATTTCAATGTTCTCAGTAAAGTTTGAAATGAAGTGTAACATTTATTAAAACAGTTTTTCAAAATGTCTTAAAACAAGATGATCTGATAGGCAATAATGACAAGACATAAAAGTGAACATTGTAAAGTTTCCGAGGCTTCATTTTTTGTAGAGTTGTCAGATACAAGTGAAATAACTTTATATTTCCTTCCTCATTCTCTGAATGAAAAAAAAAACTATCTTAAGTGTATTATTTCACACCCTAAAATCATTTAGAAAAGAGTCTTTAAGGGATTATTTCTAATTTAGATCCTAAGGAACGCATACCTAGCCTAAGTACTTTCTATTTCAGTTTTGTAAATTTTATTTTCTACCAGATCCTACAGTATAAGAAGAAACACAAGGTGCCCACCTATTCATTACAAACTTCAACTTCCAACTACACAGACTTGTTTCCTGACACATTTAAAACCACACAAATGGGCGTATTTTTAAGAACTGCTACACTATTGTAATACCAACTCATTATTCTAGAATTTTTCCTGCTGGTCTATGCAGATTTTATGTAGAGGGCCTGTTGGTTAAGCAAAGTGTGGCTTACATGTTTTAACTCCGTGATTCTTAGTTTTCTGTTGGGCTGCTGTCCTGCCGGGTATCTGAGAACTCCAGACTCTCGCTGAACACTCAGCAACTCATCTATTTGAATACAGTTCCAGGTACCGCATAACCCGTTGAAACAGACCCACAGATGCAGCTGTTCAATAACTAAACAAAGCACAGAGAATACAGACCATCGCCGTTGCAGGAGGAAGAGCAAGTTTTGCTTTGGAATTCTAGAGAATCCTTCTCTTCCATTGTCACTGTCACTGATTTTGACATCTCATCCTAGGAGAGCACCGGAAATGCTCACTCTCAAAAAAAAAAAAAAATACACAGCCATTTAGGAAAAGCAACAGATGACTCGCACAACATGAACCAAGATGTAAAAATCTACCCTGTTTAAGAAGGGGCCAACAGGTTCACAATGCCAGGCCTAAAAATGTTCCTTACCAAGACTGGAGGGCTGATCCCAAAAAGATAAGTACCAAAATGTTAAATCACTACTGATATGAAGTTTAAATGAAAAACAAACAAACAAACAAACCCTGCCCCATTCAGATGCTAGGAGGGAGGGTTTCCCGGGTGGACCCCAAGCTGCCTTGCACCAGTCACCCTGAGTCACAGAAGCCCCTGGGTTTACTTTACAAGATGACCAGGTTTATCAGGCACAAACTGAAGGAAGAGCCCTGTGAAAACCACTGAGCAAAAAGAAGCCCTACAAAAAGCCACAGTCGCGGTCACGTGGCCAGGAGGCCCCGACTTAAGGGTCACCCTAAGACAGCTCTCAGCCCACAGGGCACCAGCACCCTGCTCACCGTCTCCCGAAGCACCGCGGTCACAAGGAAAACAGAAATGAGCGTGCAAAGCAGCCTCACGCGCGTGCACACGCACACACTCGCGCGCTCAAGTTTGCCGGCTGCTTTGTCCACGCAAGCCGGCGAGCGCTGCGATCCTCACCCACGCCACAGAGCCGGGGCGCGGCCACCAGCCCTCGCCGGCTCTCAGTTCTCTGGGTCTCTCCGCAGCTCGCACTCGCCCGCTGCCGCTCGCAAGGCCACGGCGCTGCCCGGGGCTGGCGTGGCCCGGGCGCCCCGGCCGTGGGAGAGCCGCGGCCCCGGCGCGCCCCGCACGTTCTCACGGCCCGGCCCTGCGAGCACAGCCGCCCGCGTGGAGCGGCCGAGCGCCCACCCCCTCCCCGCTCCTCCCTCGGGCGCAGCGGGTCCCCCCGGACGTCCTCCCCAGCGTGGGAACCGGCCCCGGCTTCCCAGGGTCGGGGCGCGCCGCGAGCGCACGGAGGACTTGGATGAGCTCAGGCCGCGAACCTGGGGCGAGGGGCTGCGTCTGTGCGGAGCTCCGACCCGCTTGGGCACGCCGCGACCACTTACTCGGTGCACTGCCCAGACCTCGGGGCTGCGTTGCGGGATCCGCAGCAGCTGCGGGGCACGCCTGGCGAAGCCGCACTGTGAATGCAAAAGAGAGCTGGGCGTGAGCGCGCGGGGCGGTGGGCGGGCGAGGGGCCCCGCGGGGGCACCTGTCGGTCCCTGCGCGGGCGCTCGGGCGCCCTCGTGTCTACCTGTGCTCAACAGGCTGGGTGGGCGCGACGCGCGGCGGAGAGCCGACTGCCCGCGGGGCTGGCGCTCAGTCAGTTCTTGCCTTTGTTTCGACCTCCGCCTCTCGGCGTCGCTCTCCGTAGTGACCCCCAAGGCTCTCCTAGCCCACAGCTCCCGACTTCTTGCCAGACCTCTCCTCGCCTCCTCCCTGCCCGTGCACAAGGCTGAAAACAGAAAGGAGCGGCCCAAACCCACCATGACGCGGTCACGCGCGGCCCGGGTCCCTCGGCGCTCGCCACGTTCCCCTCTCCCGCAGGTGTCCTGCGCCTGCTGGCTGCTCCCCCGGCTGCCTGGCTTTTCGTCTCGGGTCTGGCGCAGGCACAGTGGAGGAGAACTGCGTAGGAACCTGCCGGTGGACACGGCCTCTGCTCCCGGTCCCACCCCCCTGCACTCACATCCGCGCAGGGGAACTGAGTCTTGGCGTCTGCAGCCGCCCAATCGCCATCCCAGAAATTACCGTGTGGAAACGCCGGGGGGACCAGGAGTCAGAAAGGGAAAGGGAGAACAGAGGGAGGGGCTCCGGGAAAGTTTGGCCCGCTTGAAAACAAAAATAAGAGAGTATTTTTTCCACTGTGTACACTTGGATGGAAAAACTCTAGTTTTCCATAGCCAAAAACTCCAACGTTTCTGCTGAGAAGTTTAAATCTACGCTTATCTCCAAGGGTGATTTCCTTTTTTAAAAATCCTGTTTTTCAGGGTTGAAGCTAACGGACTCCTTTGCAAATGGAATTCTGTGCTGAGAGACTGTGCTGTATCTGCTGTGTTCATATTTACTTTGAGTTGCTTTGTGTTTGTGTGTGCGCGCGCACGTGTGAGTCTCAGTATTTTTTGATTAGCCCTTCCGACTTGCAAAAATCCCATCATGCTATGCCATAATTGATCATAATCCTTCTGTGATCAGTCTCCGATCCCAGGAATTCTTGAGATAAATTGTTCCTGGTTGTATCCTATACATATTTCGAAACCTACCATCTAAGCTGATCTCATTGAAGTCTTATTATTTTGTCAAAGTTTGCTCCCAGCCTTGCCTACTAGTTTGCCTCACAGGAAACATCAGTGGAATCAGAAAAAAAGAGAGGAGGGGTGGCATTTAAATAAATCAGGAACAAAATTAGTAGAGCCAACAACGCAGAAAAAAAAAAAAAAGCAAGTGGGTAGCTATAGAAACGTTTGCCTTAGTGTACAGCAAATGTGCAGAGCTGTTGGGATGCATTTTTAAAATATTTCTGCCATCTCAGTAGCTTCTCTGCCTTTGTTTCTGACTTGTGATACCCTCTAAAATCAGTAGTGTGCTTGTACTCAGAGTCCCTAAGCCTGCCAGCAAAAACGAAAAGGAATGCCCAGTATCCCATAATTAAAAGGTAGTGATCATACTGTGTTTTAAAGTAAATTAAGTGCTATGAGTGCTCACAGGAAGAAGAAATATCTGCTCACAGGGAAAATACATCGAAATGGACCAGCATGAGACGCCAGTGTTGGAGGATTATGATCTGTTTGGAAACAGGTGAAAGAGAGGGAGGTTCATTTTTTTTTGTTCTGGGAAGGAAAATGTAAACAAAGGTATGGGTGAGAGAAGGCATGGCACTGATATTCATGAAATGGGGAGGGATGCCATTTAGCAAAATAAAAAATAGGTAAAGTACAGGGAGATGTGGTGGGAAGACAGGTTGGGTCTACAGGCCCTGGTTCGCCTGTCCTCTGGTTGTCATGAGTTGTTAGCTAGCATAAAGATTTTTTCTAGTTGATTTAATCTTCCCCTACAGATGCTACTCATATTGATAACTCTTTCATTCTCAGATATGACTTGCTTAGCTCATTCATTTCTGCCTTTACCATCATCAAATTTTATTGCACACCAAACTCCTTGTGTTTAAGTCCCAAATACTAAAAACTAAGAGTTCCTCGATGTTAGGGAAGGAATCTTCAAAGCCTCAATGCCTAGCAATGACCGTGGTTCATAATAGGACTGTTGAGTGGATAGAGATCTTCAGTCTCTTGAATTGTAGTTGACAGGTAGATTAAAACCAACTTTCCAGGGCCAGTGCCATGGCTCACTTGATTAATCCTCCGCCTGTGGCACCGGCATCCCATATGGGTGCCAGGTTCTAGTCCCGGTTGCTCCTCTTCCAGTCCAGCTCTCTGCTGTGGCCCGGGAAGGCAGCGGAAGATGGCCCAAGTGCTTGGGTGCTTGTACCCGCATGGGAGACCAGGAGGATGCACCTGGCTCCTGGCTTCGGATCGGCATAGCTCCGGCCGTAGCAGCCATTTGCGGGGTGAACCAATGGAAGGAAGACCTTTCTTTCTGTCTCTCTCTCTCTCACTGTCTAACTCCATCTGTCAAATTAAAAAAAAAAAACTTTCCTTTATTGAGAGTATGACTGTTGTCATGACAACTTGATAAAAATGTTAACAAGGGCAGTTATTCAGTGGAAAGTAGCGCCCTTAAAGCTTTATTGAACTCAGGCAGAAAAACTCAAGATACTTGTTTCTTCTCAAGAAGCTTTGATTTTCCTATACCCACCATTGACAATAGCACAAAAGCATTTGAATGCATATTATTTTCACACTTGAAAATGCAGTGACAATGACAACCAGAGATACAATCTGAGTCATAGCTACTCATGGCCAAGTTTATATATTAGTAGCAACAGCATGACCTGGGATCCTGTTAGAAATACAAAACCTCAAGCTTTGGCTCAAACCAATGAAGTCAGATGTGTACTTAACAAAATCCTCAAGTGATTCTGGACGTATTAAAGTTTGAGGATCACTGATCTAAAATCAAGACATTAAGTATACTAAATCTCAAAATGAGTTCTGTGCATCTTTCTAAATCAAGGGGTTTTTAGAGCTAGCATCTTCATTCTTATGGATTATTATTGTCATGTCTGTTCAAATAATGAAAGTAATGGATCCATCTCTACAGACTTCACAGACCATAGTAAGTTCATAGACCAAAGAAAATTGAAAGACAGAGAACGAGAATAGTAAGAGAGTGGAAGTGAAAATAAGATCTAGTTTTCCCTCTGACATACATATATAAGACAACAAACATATCTACATATATGTCACACTCACATATGAATGACATATGTGTGTGTTTCAGGGGCATAACTATGCTTTATTCTTTACCAAATCAAGATAACCTGTCAAACACAAGAAAGAAATGATAAATTTCTAACTCGTCATGACGCTTTTCTCTCCTCTTCTTAATTATTACTGATTTCTAATTAGGCTTTTGTTTTAAAAAAATTTTTTTGAGAGAGAAAGAGAAATCTTCCATCCATTAGTTTACTCCCCAAATGGCTGCAATGCTTGGGGCTTGGATGGACTGAAGTCAAGGGTCAAGAATTCCTTTAAGATCTCTAATGTGAGTGGCAGGAACACAAGTACTTGAACCAACCTCTACTGCTTTCCAGGCACATTAACAGGAAGCGGGATCAGAAGCAGAGTAGTTATGACTCAAACCAGCACTCTGAGAAGCAGTGTGGGCATCCAAGGTAACAGCTTTTAACCCACTGTGCCGTAATGCCTGCCCCTATTTCTGATAGTTTTAACACAGTTAGTTAGATATTCTACACTGAAAGTTGTAGTAGGAATATGCTAGCACATAAATTGTTTCTTTTAAAATTTGAAAGCTTAGCTGGAAAAAGAACACCATAAAAATTTGGAGTTTATAAATTTCTAGTCCTCGTATAAACATTCATGAAACAATCTGCATTTGAGGAGATACTAATGGTGGCAGACATGTTGTCTTCTATTTTTTTGCAAAAGAGATTTTTTTTTTAGCAGTAAAAAGAGAGGTAGGCAAATTAATGGCTTTCCAGGGAAATCCACACATTAGTCCTCAGAAACTATGCTTGTTGCATGGCAAGGAGGAATTTGGGATGCAGGTGAAATTAGGGCTGCTAATTAGCTAATTTTGAGATGGGGGATTATTCCAGATTATCAGGATGGGAATAATGTAATTATTAGAGAAAGATGAAGGCAAGGGAGCCAGTGGCAGATTAAGAGAGAGAGTTGGAGTGATGCTATGGTCAGAAATGACTTGACCAGCAATTTGGGGCTTTGAAAATTGTTGAAATGTATGCAGCCTATGCAAGCAGGGTAAGGCCAGAAAATTCTCTCCTTTAGAATTACCAGAAAATAAAACAGCCTTGCTGTCATCTTGGCTTTGGTCTAGTGAGACTCCTTTCAGACTCCTACTCCTACAAATTAAAGATAATTTTTGTTGTTGTTGTTTAAACATTAAACTTGGGGTAATTTGGTAAACAACAATAGGAATCTCTTGGAAAGTTTGATTCTTGGAAATAGATAATGCTGTAACAAATACCTAAAAATGTGAAAGCATCTTGGGAACCCAGCAGTGGCAGAGGCTGCACAAATTTTGTGGAGACAACTTTTGAAAAGCCAAGATTTCCTTGAGCACATTGCTTGTAGGAATATGAATGCTACCTCTGCTAGTGACCCTTCAGAAGGAAGAAGACACACAGGAGAGAACACCTTATTTTTTTTTTTTACCTTATCATCTTAAT